TTCTCGTCCTTTCGCCGATTCTCCGCTGGCGACCTGTAATAAGCAATACAAGGAATATTTAGTGGTTTGACTAATATATATATTAATATAATAAATATTCACGGGCCCCTACATGTTTATATTCACATTCGCGTTCACATGTATGCCTTAAGTATGTACGTACGTATGTATGTACGCATGCATGTTCGCACGTATGAGCTCGCGGATATCGCTTTAAATATCATATGTAAGCGGCCATGTCAATCCTAATGACTTACTTGCGACTCCAAAGAATTTCACGATGCCTGTTTTCCGGTAACCGTTTTGCTGGCGGTATCTCCTAGGACCGCTTGCTACGCTACAACCGTTTTTTGTTTTTTTTTGTTTAATACTCGGCACTCGAAACTTACGCGCACTATTTGACCACTGATTATCTTAGCACCACTTTGAAATTAATCCCGTTGGCCTGTCTTGACGGCCTTTTATAAGGGATGACCAGGCTGAGCAAACGGCTCATCCTACCCGCTCATCCACACTCAAAAGCTCTACTTTCGAAGGATCGCACATTCATACACACATACCCAAAACTACCTTACCGTTCGCCGGGTTAGCAGAGTTTCGCACCGCACTACATACGAATACTGGGATTTAGGTACGGGGAATGGTTTTGCTTTTACTTTTGGCAAACGCACATACATATACACACTAACTTTATGCCAAAGCAGGCGCTACAAGCCCTATCGACTGTGCGACTACTTTTCAGAAGCACATGAAACTGGATTCCCTTGGGGTCTCACCAAATGCAGAGTATTGCCTTGGTGCCATCGATATTTGGCTGCGGGGTCGATAATAGGCCGGGTTCGCCGTGCAGACTTACGCCTTCGACAACGGCAATGAAATGTCTTCTTGTTCTTCAGTTTGTCACAGATCTTCGGCGTGTGCAAACGTTGATGGCCTTCCTTCGAGCTACTTGTCTTATTAATTTCATTTGTTTGTGTGTTGAACTGCTTAGATCTTATCTTTTATTGCCACACATTTTTTCAACACCAGCGTAGCAGATTGTGTTAAATAACGAAATCGTTATAAAGTCTGTTAAAATAGATAAACTAAAAAGTCGCTCGCCACCCCGCCTGCTCATGGCCCCAAGCGTGAAAGTGTTAATTT